CTCTTTGATACCTTCTGCATTCAGTGCATATTTTACTACAAATTAAGTAGCCAGCGTTTGGGAAGTATTCATAAATATTTGTTTCATCGTGGAACCCCCGCAACAATGGTTTATCGCGTTATATGCAGTCAAACAATCTCGATGAAGAATTTAAACGGTGAGCAAAATCTTAAACCTGGGAAGTCAGTATTTGACGATGGTCAATGAAATTCAGTTAGGTTTCTTACTGTAGTTTTCATTCAATTTCCCTTTTCCCATTTTCTTTCGATTTAAGCTGCACCTATATCAAGCCGCCACACCTCACACCTCACCTGCCTAAACGAGTAACTGTAACACTATCCCAGGGAGACTGTTTAAATGCGTCTCAAACTAGTTTAAGCGTCAAATTGTATTTTTTTTTCTAGAAATTTTTAATAAAGAAAAAATTCCTAAGGGAGCAACGTTGTTAGGCAAAAAATTTATACACAATGCTGAAACACTTTTTTCTTTTTTTGTCAGGTGAACGATTATTCAATTCATAAGTCGAAGACTCAAAATGGTCGATCTCAAGGTAAAGGGTAACCTGAATTTTTTTACTTAACACTGATGCAGTCTTTAGCCATACCAGAGGAGGTTTGTACTGCAGTTTTCAAAGATTCAAGGGAGCAATTTCGACCAATCACGATTGGGAAAAATCATCTTGCTGCAGATCGTGAGATGAATATTCCAAGCATAGTTGGCCGCCTCAATAATTTCGTTTTATTCCTCGTTTTCCGTCATCGATTCGTCAAGGAATTCCTCTGCTGGTGTAGCTGGGGCTTCTTGATTCTATTGATGCGAAAATCTTTAAGGTGAGTGGATTTTTAGGGTATATTTTCACTGTGCTTTGCTCGACATTCCAAAATGGCTGGTCATCTTCGGTGTTTTGAGTGATACGATTTGAAGTGGGACTCTTTCGCTTCTCCGTGTCTTGATTGGTCTACTTTTCACAAAACTTTGAAGGAAAAATATTGATCTTCCATTTTGTACGGTCGCCCCCTTCTCCCCCCTCCTCCCCTCGCCCCCATTTCCGTTTTCGAGTAATTTTCCATTTAAAACTTATTATGTGCAGAAGTAAATAATGCGATGTGTGACATTTCAACCACACTTCAGTCGGCCTCACGTGGGAAAACATTCCGGCTCATCATAAATCGTCACTATGAGTCTTATTTGCGTTCTAATATATTCTTCATTTTGGTTTTTGTATTATTGAGTACAGTTTATCGTTTTCTCGCATAGATTAAGCAGTGTGTCATCGCTCAAAGCGGGGTCACGAGCTCTGTTTTGGGAGATTTTATGCATCTGTAGTGTATAAGGCTACGATAATAACATTGACCTAGTGTGCAAGTACACCCTCTTTGTTTTTTTGATATGGGAGCTTTTCATTTTGTTTGCGACGCTGGAGGAAATTCCTAGTCAATTGTTTCTTGTGATCTCTTTTCTTTCTAGATTTACAAGCACAGGACCAAAGAGATACATCCTGAAGAATTGATAACTCATTATTGTTTGATTCAATTGTTTCTGAGATTTGGTAAACACGCTGTGCATATTATTACCTTTTATGAGAAGCATCAAGCAAAAATACAGTTAACACCTGCGACTAAGAACCTGCATATTTCCTAGGTTAGCCTCGCTAAACAGGTTCTTAAATAAATGGTAATTAGCACAAATCTAGGCCCCTGGGTCTCCGAGGATGGGTTCCTATTTCAGAAGAAAAAATAGATTCAAGCTAAGACTATTCAGTGGTATTCAGCTTATCCCTTACATATTTTGCTGTATGATAGGCATAGGCAGTGATATGGCAACTGTGTCTCTAAAGAGGATCCCGAATGTTGGCATATCTTATTTGCCCAAGTGTACAGAATTTACTTAAACAGATTTTAGAAAATAGGAACCTGCTTTTAAATATTAGGCTTAACAGGTTCTTTTATAGAGGGGGCTTAACAGGCAAATTTTAGCCTAACACGCTCTTAACAACCAAATTATTTAGTTGCAGATTTTTACTGTATATCATTCTGTAAGGATATTTATACCACTGCACATTATTTATACCACTACTACACGAAATAAAACCACTACATTGAGTCTTTTAAACTAAAATGCTGCCCTTGAAATATTTTTTATGGGTAATTTACTTAGGGCTTTTTTTTTTTTGCCTCCAATTATGCAGTAGTCCAGTACGTTCGCCAAAGCTATTATGTATGTACCTAGCATTCATTCAGTTCAATAATACACCTTTATTTATGATTTCAATCTTCAAAAATCGAAATATAAGCTTACTTAGCTTGTAAATTACAAATAAGCAATCCAAAGAATAAACTCAAGCGGACCATCGATCAATTAAAACTAAGTGATTGAAAGATACTAAATTACATAATCTCAAATCTGTGAGACATTTGTCTTGCCCATTGCACTGCTCACCATCATTCGAATCTCTAATCGGTCAGTTTAACGGGTATTCGCAATTATAACCTTCGCTGTCTGGAGAGGTTAACGCACACAGTTGACACAGCTCGTGTTTTTTGCAAGCCACAAGCTAGCCTGCGTAGCTGGCGGTATTGTGTGGGTGCGAGATTAAAGTTTTGGCGGTGGAGCCGTGTTCCAAAAAAAGGGAGTAGGGACGAGGCGCTTGAAATACCGCCTGCCAGAAAACGCCGGTGTTTTGAATAGTCCGCACACCAGTGTGCGGGGAAACGGATTTGTCGAGGGCCATACATATGTCAATCATGTTAGATGAGCCTTCGCATATATTTCCCAATTTAGGGAGCAGGTGGCAAACTGAAAAAGACGTACATGTAAAGTGATTGTGATTTCCGCTTTAAAAAGAGCATAATTGATGACCAAATTGCCGAAATGGCGTCTTTAAACTTCACAGCGCTGGAACTGTCTTTTAATATTTAGCCGTAAGAAACAAAGGTCAAAGAAAATTAAAACACTGTACAACTGCATCTGATATCAAATCCTATCAGGAACACCTACAGAACAATAAACCACCGGAAATGGTTACTCAGTATGCATGTAACAAACCAGCTTCATGACCTGGTGTTGCAAAAAAAAGATTTACTCAGTCAAAGTTTGGAATGATACATGCACTGTGTAGTGCTAGTAACCTTCGCGCGAGAGCCGAGAACAGGGGCGGGGGGGAAGGGGGGGAAGAGACGAGGTCTGGGACCGAGAAACGATGTTCTCACAACTTGCAAAGCGGTCACCCAGCGTAGTGGTCAGCGGATAATTACAGTATTTTTCCCACAGTAAATATTTTAGAAGCAAGAATTGAATCGAACCGGCAGAGGAAATCAGAAATGCTTAAAAAATTGAAAAAATTATATCATGCAACTTTGTTTTTCTTGCATATAGTATTTGTCTTTCGGTACTGAAATGCGGGGGAAACTAAAACGCAACCGTGCTAGATCTTAACCAACAACAACGCGCTCGATGGATCTATTTATAGGTTACATCGTTTTTGCCGGGCAAGGATAACTTGATGCTGATATAAAAAAATACTGGAGCAAGTGTCAAATTTCTCGGAAGCAAGTATATTCAAGAAAGCTTTATAAATATGAGCTTACTACTCCACATATCATAACTGAATAAAAATTAACACTTCATAACATTTAACTTCGTTTATTTCGATCAGTCAACACCTTGAATCCAAAGTTAAAATTCAAAACGATCCTAAAACAAATCAAAACTACTACTGAAAGCCCTGTACCTTGAAGCGACTTTAACTTTCCTTAGGTTTGCAGCAAAACACTGCTCGATAGCTCAACTCTTCGGCGGCCTTTTCTTAGCAGCTATACGGAGCTAGCTATATGTTGCATATTCCAAACTCTGCAAAGGGAAATTGTTTAACAGAACAAGAAAACCACACACTATGTCTGAAAAGCGACCTAAAATCAATAAATTTGCGAATTACCAAAATGTAATAGTGAGAAACAGTCCCGCCTTCGACTGCCATGTTTTTGCTTTTTCTCAAGACCGTTGATCTATGGTTTTTGGCTTAATGCGCATGATCAGTACACAAATCCGCTGGCAAGACCCTTGCTGATCGCTTTGCAAGTTGTGAGAACATCGTTTGGATTTCATTTAAGAGAATGTATGGGAAGTAGCGTGCACCCCGCTGGCTGAGAAAATAAAAAAAACCCCTGGTCAAGCAAACTCACAAGGTCACGTTTCACATTATCACGAGCTTAGGAGTCGTGTTTAGCCTGTCAACGCTTATTTCTAAACTGTCTCGCGCGAAAATAATCGGAAGTTTGAAATTGCAGGTTTCTCTTTGACTGGCTGATTTAATTGCGATCAGCTAAGGTGACAAAAGTTGGCGGCATTCGAAAAATCATGGTTCTCTGGCAGGCGGTATTTTTCGCGGCTTCGCCGCTCGTGACGGCTCCGCCGTCAAATCTCACTCGACTATATTACAACGGCTCCGCCGCCGAATCTCACTCGACTACTACACAATACCGCCAGCTACGCAGGCTAGCCACAAGCCCACTAACTTTGGACGACGCCAAATAAAATAAACATGTTTTAAAGGCATCTCAATCACTTAGCCGTGAGAAATTTATAACATCTTTGATAGGACAAACTTTTTGTGCGAAAATATGCGGAATTCTAGCACAATTGAAGCTAAAACCGGCCAAAAAGGCGTGAATCACGGAGATCCGTCTACCTCGACGGTTTCGTTATAACTGAGCCACTTGATAATTCGTCCTATGATCCTTTGCGAACTGCTGTCCAACCTCCTCTGAGCCATACATCATTTTTTGAAATATAACGATTGGGAACGGCACAATCATGCAGATATCATGGAGACCTTTGACACTGACGTCTGGTGACTGTAACACACAGCTCAAAGGAAAATTAAAATGCCACCGACCTACACTTTAACTTTTTCTGTAGATCTATTTGTTAGTTTTTTTATTTTGTTTTGTTTTGTTTAATGTTTGTTGTTTTTTTTTCAAAGGAAACTGGAGATTTCCTTATTAGGACTGGGGCCTAGATACTTCTTCAATCATTATCCGGGACACTGAATTCCATCCAGTTTCAGCATTACCCAAGGTTTGGCCATGACACTCTCCTACCCACAATTCCACTCTTACCGTCCCTTGTGGTATGTTTTCACAGTATCCCTCAAATGACCGATGATGCAGCAGTTCAGGGTTCCCATAATGCCAGTTGTTGTAAACAATAGCCTCAATCGTCATTGGTCCGCTGCATTCGTTTCCGTTAAACTTGAAATACCATCGATTACACTTATTATCCCCTATTACCCTCATGATGCCCTGGAATGAGGCTTTAAGGGCTGTATTCGACATCAGCTTGTTAAAAGTACAGTTCTAGGGAAAAAATACAAAAACAAACACGAACAGTGATTTATTTAGGCTACGACTCTTTTAATGCTAAATAACGTAGGTAATTAATTAATAGAAGCTGAAAAGGGAAATAAAAGCTGAGACGATGACGAGATTGATAGCCGCATTGCTATTAAATTGGTTCTTAATTCAATCCCAGCAAAAGCTTAAACTTCCAACGTTTTAACACCGATTGAGATCAAACACTATACTCATGGCGGTCCGCATAAAGCCGGTTCCTTGTTTACCTTAATCTTTCCGTTTCCAGTGCCGCTGACTGCTTTCCATACACATTGTTTCCAGTTGGTTTGTGGTACTACACTTGCTTGACTTGCTTTGGCGCTTTCTCCTTTCTCTCCTTTGTCCCCTTTTCTCCCTTGATTTCCCACAATGCCTCGCTCTTAGGCATTTGCCGATTGTGCTAGTAAAAGTGGCATATTATGCTAGTGGCAGTGCTCGTTTTTTGCCCAAATTATGCTCAAATTATGCTCGCTTTTCAAAATTATGCTACTTTTTTAAAAAATTATTCTGTGCACAAACTTCACAACTCACAAGACAAGTTTGAAAATGTATTTTATTAACCCTGGCCAGACGTTCTGGGCCCGGTTGTTCAAAACCTGGGTAACTTTATCCGGTGGTTGGGCCTATACGGCGAATAAATCTGCTATCCAGCGGATAGTTATCCAGCGAACAAAAGTAGGTTGCACAAAGCCTGGATAGTGTGGTGGATAACTATCCGCGGATAGCTTGCTAGTTGCTAACCATCGCGTGTAGCAGAGCGTGACACAGTTTGCGCAAGGTTTTGCACTCAAATGGCATCCAGTTACCATGGTAAAGTATGCAAATTTCGAGTAAACAACGAACTGTGCGCGCGCTAGCAACAAAGAACTGTGCGCGCTGGGTTTCAAAACAAATAAAAACAAATACAGTGAAAACTTAACCATGCAGTTTCTGACAAAGCCCTGGATAACAAATTTAACATTGAATAATCTGGCGGCCGCCATTTTGAAACGAGCACTGGGAGAAAGACTAAGGAGTCTGGGACCGAGACACAGACTTCCGGTTCCGTTTCATCGAACTCCCGCGGCATCTCAACACAAGTAAAAAAAAAATCGAAAAATAGGAGTGGAAGTAACTGTTAATAGTAATCTATCGTTTTTAGTAGCTGAGATCTTCGTTTTCTTGAATTATTCTAAAATCGTGCTATTAAGACAAGAAAATATACGGATTATGCTAGCAGTGCTACTTTTGGAAAAAAGGGCAAAAATTATGCTCAATTCCTCAGATTATGCCAAAAATTATGCTAGCACAATCGGCAAGAGCCTACTCGCTCTCCTTTCATCCCCACAACCCCCGGTTCACCTTTTGTTCCCTTAATTCCTGGCGTTCCACTCTTCCCGGGATACCCTTCGTGACCTTTGTCTCCTCTTGGACCCGGCATTCCTTGCGATCCCTTATCACCAATTTGTCCCTTATCGCCTTCTCTTCCCTGGGTCCTTGCGGCCCTGGCACGCCTGACATTCCAGGCATGCCATTTGATCCTGGAATGCCTGGAAAACCATGACCCAGTAAAGATTTCTAAACATAAAAATTAACAGAGATTAAAGCACTTTCACCTGTTTTAAGAAATAAAGTCAATATCGTCAGTAGGTAGGGAAAGGATTGCAATATGTGAATTCATTAGGGCACAAGTTGCTTGGCAACTATTTGGCAACTTCTCATGTGTCGAGCAACTTTTTCGTTTCGAGCAACTTTTTGCATCCTGAGCAGTTTCTAGTTTTCTAGCAATTCTGAGATATCAGAATGGGGCTTAAATTACTTACATTTTTCACAATGTTTTAGTAGGCAATTTAAGAATTTCCGGTGAAAAAGGAACCAAATCCTTCCCCTGGAGCTATCGTGGGCGCAAGATGCGTGCTGCCTGACTGCTAGGTCAGCGATTTTTAAAAGAAAATTCAAAATGCCGAAAATCAACATCGTGCCCAACGTCTTCTCGCTTTCCATTTCGGTGTCGCAATGGTATTGGCATTTCCCCCGTTTTGGGCATCCCCATTCCCAAAACCTCTGTGATATGGACATCCCCTGTAACCCTAATCCTAACCCTTACCCAACTCGCTAAGGTAATATGAGAAGGGGATCCCATATCACTAGGGTTTTGGGAGTGGGGATGCCTAGCGGCTTGTACCAGATCTCCTGTCAATGAGTCAACAAGGGATCTGGATACGACATTAGATTCACACTAGTCCACTCGAGTGCCTCAGGTGAAAAAGGGTCCTTTGAGGGAAGCCGCAGAAGCAGTAGCAAGACTGAATACTCCAGCGAAAGCGGCAATTTCAATATAATACGTCTAGCCATTTTTTTTGAAAACCAACCTAGCGAAACTGGCAGTCATTTGTGTGAAAAGGCGTCAATAAGCCGGTATCTTAAGCCCGATAAGCTCCAAAATCAAAGTAACAAAGGAGCGCTCTTAGTTTTATAATGGCTACTTTAGAGATATTTTTTGGCCGAAAAAACTGTTGGACGCAAAATTTATAGATCCCTTGGTCCCTTTGGCGATAACGTTTTCAAAAATCCGGCTAGATAGAGGTGAAACTAAGCGACGCCCAAAGGACAGATTTAACGAACACAGACGTCCACTCGACAAAACTAACATTAAATCTAAACGTTAACCCACTACTCTTTCTGAAAACTTTCACTCACACTCTCACCACTCTCACACTGACATGCAGTTAATCCCACTAGAGAAAATTAATTCTTCACGTTACTCAGTCCTTAAGGCGAGGGAGTCACATTTGATAAGTCCATGACTCGTGAACCTAATGGCCTCAGCCCGCCGTGACGAATTGTTGTAATCTGTATCTTTATTAGTTTTTGTTTTCTTTTTTTTATGCTTTATGCTGTACGTCATTCCTCCTCTCCCTTTTAGGCAATTTTTATTGCGAAATTCTTCGTCTGTATACTATTGTAACACCTACTATCATAAATTCAGTAATATCTGCAAATTTCAAGAAGGCTCATATGGCCAGTCGAAATATTGTTATATGAAAAAACAATACACGTTGTTATGATCAGCTTTGCAGTAGTCTTTGGACTTTTCGTGTTTTAATTTCAATTTCAATTTTAACCCGGATTGCTGTTAAATTACATGAAAAATAGAAGTCTTGACATTGAACAGCAACAACAAATTTAATGGCTTATGGCAACGCTGGTTACGCAGCAAAATTACACAATCTTACACAGTTGCTGTACAATTGTCAGATTTTTGCATCCGACCAACTAAAGGAAGAGAGCAACTAATTTTTTTTGTTTCTAGTAGCAATTTTTGAACAACTTTCGTAACAAAAAGCAACTTTTGCCATTTTTTTGAGCAACATTTCAGTAACTTTTTGAGAAATTACAGGAAACTAATGCTCGAGCAACTTGTGGGAAGCCCTAGAATTTATAGAAACATATGAAATTAAACCAGCTCGTTTTGAACTAGGACGAATTTTTTTTTAAGGAAAACTTCAGTGAAGGCTATGTTTAACTATGAGAGACGACAGTGGTCACAATTTTTGAGGGAAAGATTCCTTCTTGTTACGTTCCTACTCTCGCGTCATTATAGCTAACCTTCAGGATTAAAGAATACGTAATCCCCTTTTCCGGACTTGATCAACCTTTTTTTTACTTACATAAAGCCTAGACAAGTAGGCTTTTTGTCCTCATGACACAACAGTATTCCAAGATCGAGTTTATCAATGCAAAGAAGATATTGACGAGGTCACAAGAGAAAATTTCGGCCCATTCAGAACGCAGGGAATGCAAAACGACGCTTGACGTAATATTATCTATCCATTGGACGCTTTGGTTCCATTAATTAACAAATTAAGGGTGTTTCACAATTCGTCAGCTCGAGCGCCGTATGTTAAGTGAGGAAACGTTTTCCAGAGCATGGGAAAATGTTGATAACAAGTGATGAATGTTTTTTATGCAATGTTTAACGCAATGCCCGTGGAGGCCAAAAATTGTCATCTGAAGCTACACAGTTAACTCTTACCTCGCATAAATCTTTTGTCTGTTGAATGTTTTGCTTTTGGAGTGAGGTGGTTGTTCCAAAAGATTCTCCAGAAATAAAGAAAATCAACAAAACCACAAAATACTGTGCCATTACGAGAAAGTAAAAGTACACTGAGCGTTTATGAGATTCGTGCTTTGTGCTTGTCAATAGCGAATATCTTAAGTTAATCTTGTGTTTCTGTTTATTTCCTTTTATGATATTTAGATTTAAAGCTATTGATTTGTCTTAAGCATTTGTTTTTCTTTTCGAAAATACCAATAATTTAATTCAGCAGACCTCAGACCTCTTTAAAAAAACTTCCGGCCTTTTGAAAGGAGTTCAATAATATACACGTACAGAAGAAACCTAAACTTTACTAAACACATAGTTTTTGTGTCTATGTATATCTATCTCAATTTTCATCTTTCAATCACCCGACCGGTCTGATTACCCAACTGCATGCACGTTTTGTTTGTTCGGCTTTTTCGCAGAAGTTTTAGAGCTTCTCATTGGTGACCTTACGCAACAGGACGGGAGAGAAAAGAAGACGGTGAATCTTGTGTGACAAGCGTGACAATAATTTTGTCTGGAAAACTCTTCCGCCGAACTGCACCTTTCTTTAAACAGGTCTTTTCGTAAAAGACCAGAAAACGTTAACTTAAGTGAAGATCACGAAAAACACATAAGTCCTGTTGCGTAAACTCACTATTATATGTTCACATTCATACTTCAAAGGTGCGAAGATGGGCGGACACGGAGAGATATTACCTATACTAAACAAATTCATAATTTTTACTTAAACTTTAAAACTAGGTGGACAAATAACTATATCTTTCTTGATTGTGCCGGCCTTGTTTGTTTGTTTGTTTGTTTGTTTTTTGTTCTCGTTATTTTTTCTTTTTCAAAAACATCAAAAAGTTAAGGTCGCTTTATTCTTTTTCGCGTGTCTCCACTTCTAAGTGGGTGCTGTTAAAACTTCTTTAATGATCATGAGAATTTTAATTCAGCGCCAGATAAGCAAGCCCTTAAGATTGTTTCTTTCTGATCATGATTTTAAGGCCATCAGTATTTCACGTTCCTTGAATGCTGATCTCTTTGGCGGTGCTCTTTTGTCAATATGTTTTAGTAATTGTTAGTAATGAACTCTGCCCAGGGAGAAAAACAGACAAAAAACAAAATTTGATACATGATACATGATATATTAAAATTAACCATGCAACATGATACAGAAACGAAGAGAGATATCTGTTCAAAGCAAACCTTAATGGTTTGTTCACGAGACACTTCGCCAGTCGCATAAGCGCCCAGTGTGATAGACGCAAAGATATAGCAAAAAATGCTGCAAAGTACTGTCCATGATATACAAAAGAAAAGGGGTATATGTTAGACACAAGCATTAATGGCTCGATTTCAAGACGCGTCACCAGTCGCATAACCTCGTAAGGACCGGTATGTGTAATTTTCCTGTAGACGCTAATGGTATCATATACAGGAATGTAGGAGACTGAATGTACAGGAAACTGAAACATTATGCACCAGTCTCTGTAAACACCTGCACCCCCGACCGAACTTCGTGGGGAATTTACGTGGTATTTTCATGTTTTTGACGAAGGAAAAGGTAAAGGTATCGGTGACTTTGACGACTTTTCAGTATGCCATCCAAAATCAGCCAAGGAGTGGACCGGAACAGTAGAGGCTTTTGACCTTAAAAAGAAGGCGAGAGCAACACCGCAAAAACAAATTGCACTAAAAGTTAGGGCAATTACTATACCTTTTAATGAAAGCCTTGCAGATTGAAGAGAATACACTGACAAAGAGGAAAAATAACTAAGACTCTCTTCCACAAGGAAAATAATGTCCACTTCTTTCAACTGATCCAACTTTAAAAGAATCTGCGAAACCTATATTAAAATTTTCAGCTGAGTTGCTAATCTCTCTTCCGCGAAGGCTTTTTTATGTCGTAGGCAGGATGGGGGAAGGAAAAAAAAAAAAAAAAAAAAAACAGGACGCCGGGGAGGGAAATGACGGGAAGAGGAAAGAGAAGAAAATATGCCTTTTCGCTCTTCCCATCGTCCACGGCGCTCTTATAATTTTTGTGTAATTCTGTTTTTTGTTGAAATAACCTGTGAGAGCCTCTGCAGAGACAAAAGCAGTTGCTATGAAATTATTAACCACTGCAATTAAATTAATGAAGATAACGGCTAAGTTCACGTTTCTTATTATTTACTCTTCATCTGGTCTATTTCAAGCCAGTTACTAACTTACTTTAAGCTCACCTCAATCACCTCAGATTACCGTGTACGTTCAGAGTTCTCACGTCCAAACATGTGGTTTGAAATGCAAAAGCCGGTAAACTAATTAGTCAGTATTTTCCCCTAGTTAAATTCGCCTTAAGAAGGATTCAACGCATCTGGTTAAAAACAACACTCTGAAATCAAGGCTTAGCGTGCTTTAAAATCTAAGCCGTGTAATTCTAGACTGCACCTCAAATCTTAAGCGCTTATTTAAAATAAATAAATAAAGATAAAACAAAAGAGATTTGA